GTGTGGACAAAACACTTCTAAGACCTAAGGAAACTGTGACCTCGTTTTGCAAATGTAGGGTGTGGCAGACATTAGCAGGTCACAGAACTTTCCTATTCCTCTTTGGGATATGGCTTCACTAGGTCCTCCAGCCTTGGTTGCAGTTAGGTGAAGGTATGTTCTGGTCAGTGACATATGATGAAAGCAACGTGTGCCACATGTTCCAGCACTTCCCATGCACAATCCTCCATATCCTTTCCCATTCTGCAGCAGCCTTGAAGAGGGTGGAGCTCAAATACACAAGGAAGCCAAATTCTGCTTGGAGGAAAAGCTGCTTTTCCTATCTGAAGGATTGCCATGGTTTCACAAACATAAGACAAAGCTTTAGGCATCAAAATCACAACGGGCAGAGCTAGAAACCATCACAACATTCCTGACATAAATGTCTTGCTTTGGCCTAATGAGTTCCTGAGGCAAGTGTACATGGTAAGTATTAATAAAACAAAGCTCAGCTATGTAACTGGCTGAAAGAAACAGTCTTTCAATTCACTTGGAGCTGCCTTTGATTCCTAATTACTTTCAATAATTTTTTTAGATTTAATCTAACAAAAAATTCTTCAAGGGTGTGTGTGTGTGTGTGTATATACATCTTAAGTAGTATTTGAGGGGCAGTGTGCCATTTTAAAACTAAATAGCTGAAGAATCCTTAGAAGATATTTTGGAGAGGATATGGAGAAATAGGAACACTTTTACACTGTTGGTGGGAGCGTAAATTAGTTCAACCGTTGTGGAAGACAGTGTGGCGATTCCTTAAGGACCTGGAAATAGAAATTCCATTTGACCCAGCAATCCCATTATTGGGTACAAATCCAAAGGATTATAAATCGTTCTATTATAAAGACACATGCACACATATGTTCACTGCGGCATTGTTTATAATAGCAAAGACCTGGAACCAACCCAAATGCCCATAGATGATAGACTGGACAAGGAAAATGTGGCACATATACACCACGGAATACTATGCAGCCATAAAAAACGATGAGTTCGTGTCCTTTGTAGGGACATGGATGAATCTGGAAACCATCATTCTCAGCAAACTGACACAAGAACAGAAAATCAAACACCACATGTTCTCACTCATAGGTGGGTGTTGAACAATGAGAACACATGAACACAGGAAGGGGAGCATCACACACTAGGGTCTGTTGGGGGGAGTGGGGAGGTTGGGGAGGGATAATGTGGGGAGAAATGCCAGATATAGGTGACGGGGGGAGGGGATGGAGGCAACAAACCACTTTGCCGTGTATGTACCTATGCAACAATCCTGCATGATCTGCACATGTACCCCAGAACCTAAAGTATAATAAAAAAAATTTATGATCTCAAATACTTAATAAATTTCAATAAAATTTACTACAGGACTAGTACTTAAAGGAGACATTTTTAATGAAGGTTGCAATCCACAGCTACTAATATTAAAGATGACAAACAACAAATTATGCAATTGAATTTTTAATAACAAAGATACTATATTTTAACATGGTGAAATATACTTGGCTAAGTCCAGATTAAAAAAAAAAAGTATCTAGCCCAACAGTACAATCATACAGCTTTGTACGGAACATTCCATAGATCAACAGAAAATACATTTGAGCACAAAAATAAAAAATAAAGAGAATCTCTAAGCAGCATTTTATTTCTGCAAAAGACGTATCTTGTACTGATTAAATATCTACAAGTGCTTTTCCTTTACAAAAATACATATATTCTTAATAGACTAAGTCATTAACAATGACCTGGTAATTCTTTCACTTCAATTTGAATGATTTATAAGCTAAATCTTACAACCACAAAAAGGTTTTTATTTGTATTAAGATGTTACCACTTTTGACAAAAAGCTTAAAATATTTTATATTTCAAAGGAAAATTAGCAACATAACTTTACAATATATTCTATGACATTCGACTGATTGTGAGGGCTACTCTATTTAAAACTGATGATCTCTGTTGTGTTGCTCAGATGCAGGAAAGCAGCAGAACCCTGGTACTCCCCCAACAAGCTCCTGTCGTGGACCACAGCTTCATAAGGACACTTAGGCCCCCACCCCCATTCTAAAAAATACAACAAAAGAAAACCGACCCCAAACAATGCTAGGCTGATCCCATTATATTTTTAATGTGTAGAACTCCTGCTCCAGTGGACTGATGTGCACAGGATGGATAAATTTGTTGACTATCTCTACATCACCCAGAATTATTTAATCTTCATTTGCACTAGATTAGTTTCTTATTCCATGAAGCTCTATACAGTGGAAGAAAACTAGACTCAGTATTCAACATATGTTTTACTTGATTCCAGATTTAAAATTATTCAAATTAAAAATATTTTTGAAAAATGAGTCTCAGTTTTGAATCATAGAAAAAGGGGCATAACGAGTATACAGACATTTGAATGAGCATTTAAAATAATTACTTTTAATTTTATAACTTTCTGAAAGGAAGTGCTCAAGCATTTAAATTCTATTTGAAAATATAGTAAGGAAAGCAAGTAAACATTATTTATGAAAACTGTATTACACTAGGAAGAGAATCACTTAAATTGGAAAACCATCACTGCAATAAAAACTATGAAAACTGTATTTTACATTTAAGCACATTTTAATGAACTTTCAGTCTGATATCTTCCATCAAAATGCTACTCAATTAGGTTTATCAAGTAAATCCAGAAACGGTTATTGTGTGCCTTGAAAGGGTTTGAGTCTCTGGTGTATTTAATATTTTTCATTTTTTCATAAACTAGATCTAGCAGACAATATTCCTTATTTTTGCCCAAACTGTAGGAATATATATTATAAAGCATTGATAACTGCATTTCAAGTTTTTGTGTTTCTAATCCAGAAAATTAAAATTATGGCAAACTCATTCATTTTTGAACTACCAACCAATATCTTACTAGTATAAAGCTTAGCTTTCTGGAAAATTCCTTATGATAAACAGGAGTATGTAACAGAGTGTGCATCCATTTTTACCCTATCCAAAGAGATTTACCTAATGACCTATCAGAAAGACTTCATGAGTTTTACCTTTAAGGTAAATCTTATTCCTGCCCACAGCACGAATTCCCAAGAAGAAATGGTACAAGGGGGATAAGGAACTTCCTCTTGATGTACATGCTTGTTTTGTGACCCATACTGTCAAAGTTGGCTGTACGGCTAAATTCTAATAATAAACTAAGTGCTGAGAAACAAGAGAAAGAGTTGGTTTTTTTTTTGGAAATGAAGTTTTGCTCTGTAGCCCAGGTTGGAGTGCAGTGGTGTGATCTTGGCTCACTGCAACCCAACCTCTTCCTCCCAGGTTCAAGAGATTCTCCTGTCTCAGCCTCCCATGCAGCTAGGATTACAGGTGCCTGCCACCATGCACAGCTAATTTTTGTATTTTTAGTAGAGACGGGGTTTCACTATGTTGACCAGGCTGGTCTCAAACTCTTGACCTCAAATGGTCCACCTGCCTTGGCCTCCCAAAGTGCTGGGATCACAGGCATGAGCCACTGTGTTTGGCCTACAATTGCTTTTTAAGGGGGGAAAAAAACCACAGGCCCTTATGGAATATTTTGAATATAGAGACAGTACTTACATAAATCCCATAAAATGTACTCTCTTCTATACAAGTATATCAGCACTTTTACCAAAGTCTATCTTTAATAAAATTTCTTATATTATGAGGAACATAGGAGCTAAATCTAAGTTTAATTTTAGTTTACACTGCCTCCATGAAATAAAAAGCCTCTCAAATTGAAAATCTCACATTTCAAAGTATGTATTTCTCTCACTTTTCATGCAGAGGAAGGCTATTTGTTGTGTTTATCTCTTTCTCACCTTTGAGGATTTCCTAAGATCTGTTAGATGATGCTGGAAAACAATAAAGATATTTAAAGGAAGTGTGTTCTGATTATTGCAAGAAAAACCTGCATTTGACTGATCTCACCAAGAAAATTCAGTTTAAAGCCTTTCTTTGGTGATATTTTAGCAATTAATCAAGGTTATTGCCTAACTATATAAAATTAAATTGTAATCTAAAAATTTCCAACTTCCAAACTGTTAAAACTGTCTCTCCAACATGGTTATTAATTTATTGTAAAATGTCTTTGGTGATATCTATATTCTTATGAAAATCTTTCAAAAAAAGATTAACTTACAAGAGCCTATTTAGATATGAAACCATTCATTGGAGACAGGTACAGATAACTCAAACTTTATGCAGTAAATTTAAAACAGAAACACACTTTAGCAATGAGGCACTTTCTCTTAAATATTTCAGTAAAGCTAAACAGTTCACAATATTATATGACACACTTTTTTTCCTTAAAGAATCAGCTGAAATTTAGATTACATTTGAGTGTGTAATGTAGTTGAGCAAAGTCATTACATTTATAAAATATGGCACATTAGCATGGGATAGATGTTTAATGTATAAAGAAATAATATATTTCTCTAAAAGTACAGGTATTGATCGACTTACCACCTATGCAACTTACGACCATTCGACTTTACGACCACAATCGCTAGCCATGACTGCTCTGTGTCTGGCAGCGCAAACATTGCCCAGCTGGGCGTACGACAGTGCGGGCCAGCTTCCGGCAGCACTACCATCTCCACGTGCACCATTTCAACTGTACATATAGCCTACTCAACTTACGACCAAATTGTGTTACAACCGGTCCGCGGTCCCGACTGTGGTCGTAAGTCGAGCACTAGCTGTAGTTAAAATACATTACCCAAGTTACCTGCACTCCAGACTGAGTAATTACCTCATCAATGAGCATTTGAGTTTATTTTTTCATACTTTGTAAAAGTGTTTTGCTAATTTAGAGAAAAGGCCATATTTTGATTTCTCTATTAACTGATGTGATTACTTCAATTAAAGTAATGTTTATAAACCCCAGTCATTCTTTATATCTAAGTTTCTTTGACACTTTTATATTTAGAATTTCTAAGGCAGATAAAACAGATAACAAAATCTTTTATGGAAGTAAAGGTCTTTCAGTTTATTGCTTAAGAAACAACAGATTAAAGAAAACTTTTAGTTTTATTCTCTGATTTTACAGATTCAGATGATTATTCCTATAGTTTATATAAAGAATTCATTTTATAAGCACCCTAAATTTATAAAGCTAACCACAGAATTTGCCTATATGTTTTTTCTATACCTAGTTTCTTACAAATTCTACAACCCGACTTAAGGGATAATTAACAGGGAATACAGTGTATTACTAGACATAAAAGTAGTCCTATCCTTAGAAAGCTATAACTGAACATACCAAAAGAAGTCAGTTGAAGAAATCTGTGATTCTAGTAGCAATATCACATCACTTAGGACCATCAAAAAAAATGTGTACCTTTCTCCAAATGACAGTTGATGCCTTTCTTAATGTAAGCTTTTCACGTTTTGGCACATATTCCACAGCATTTCAATAAAAATGTTAATGCATTATCAGTAAATAGAGGAATTCTATATAAAACTATTCTCAGTTTCATCATTGCTCTCTATATTTCCTTGGAAAATAGTGAAATTACATATGACAAGGCAACCGACCAAATTTAAAGAGATTTTGGGGATAAAATTCATTTATGGCCGTTAAGTTTTGGCTGGGGGCAGCAAAAACATCAAAGTCTCACTTGTGATTTTTAAAATGCACTCTTAATTCATTCTGAGTTGATTAAAATTAACTTCTATTTGCAAAACACTATTTTAATCACTGACCTAGATGTGACAAAAAATTTTTAAAAGTTCTTAGGGATATCTGCGAACTGGGTTTTACAGCATAGAAAAATAATTTCTGTAGCTAGATAGTAAATTCAGTTTTTTCAGCCATTTGTAGTTAATGAAAATCTGCCTTTTAAATTCTGCTTGTGAGCCATTCCAAGAATAAAAACAATCTAACAAAACAAAGTATTGCCGTAACCGTTTCCACCAAATTTAGAACAGAAAAATTTAATAGACTTTTTAACTCAAAAAAAGATACAAGGAGAAGATAATTATGAAGTTTTAGCCTTTTACATAGTGAAATGTATTAAGATTTACCTGTATTTTATGTTTGCTATAGTTGTACAATATCTTATTTCTACGAATCATTTTGAAATTCAGAAGGCATTAATTTCTGATACATTTTACTGGAAAATGTGGGACATTTACCACATATGCAGTATAAAAACTAAATGTGTGTAATACACAGATTGTGCTCATGTCATATTTTTAAATTATTTTTCCTAACTTTCAAGATTTTTTTCTAAGTTTTTGAAAACTGTAATAAAATGGTTTAAAATGACCGTTTTCATATAACTTAAGGTAACAAGACTTTCTTTGACTTGCAGACTAATTCTAAAATGAATGGAAGACTTAACAAAACTGCAAAATACAAGACATTTTCTATTTCTGATCTTAATGAACTCATGTATAAAACAATAATCCCATTTCCCCGATTACTACAGGATTTAAAATAAAATACCCTTAACCTATTAATTTTGGTTAGCATAGTTATCTTCTATACTGCATTTGTTCTATTTTATGCATTTAGTTTGGAAATGTGAAAGGTAACTAAGAGTTTTAATCTACAACTGTTTTGAGACTTTTGAAATCCATAAAATAGCTAATGTTATGTGCTCTAAAAATCCTAATATTTAAAATCATCATAACTCTCTGCATGCCACAATGACATATACCTAAGGCCAACTTAAAAAGAGAAATAATGCACTCATTGAACGACAGCAACAATGTAATGATACATGAAATGGGCTATACAATGACATTTCATGAAGCAGCACCTGCTTGTCATAAGGCATCATGAAAGAAGATTAACCTTACTTACACATTAATTTTATCAGAAGTAAATGTGATCAGCTGCCAACATTTTGAATGGTTGGGAATCTAACTTCAGTTCAAGAGGTCACATACATTTTCAATCTGGAGGGCTAACGTGCCTTCCTTGTGCAATTGGTAGACTATACAGACAGATGCTTAGAATGTCTACAATTATGTTGTGCTCTAATGTTACAGAATAATTGGAATTCTTCGCAAAAGGACTTGCACACTCAAGAATGGACTTTTTTTTTTCCACACAAAAAGCTTACCAAGAACAAGACAGTGGCTCAAAAACCACTTTTCTAAATATATTTCCATACAAAATAATTTCAATATATAATTATTAGTTTCTTGTACAGTACACTATTTAAACAAGAATAAAATAGTAAGTATGTGAAAACTGCAACACCACAACAATTGAGCCATTTTACTAGTGTAATTAAACATTAGAACAATCTTGGAACAGGCAAGCAAAATATTCAGAAGGCTGAATCATGGCGGCACACCTAACTGATTTTGACCGTGACTTGCACACTTTGAGACAACACAGATACCTTATGCAGATGGTTCAGTAGCAGAATGGCACTTGGTTTGCTCTTAATAGAAACAACATGAATGCAACTGACAATTTAGAGATAGACAATGGCCTTATTTGCATGCTGAAAATCTGGTTGTGTTCCTCTAGTCCACACACCGTTAACTGTGCAATCTGTTGACGAGTAAACAAATAGTGCAGGATTCATCTCAGTGAGGTCTGGGCCCCTTGGTCTAACCAAAATCAATTCTTGGTCGATACTGCAATACCATAGGGTATGACTATAAAATAAAGACAGATAACAAATAAGACTATATTTAGATAAAAACAACACAGTTGTTTATATACAAAAAATTTTAAGATTTGGGATTATAATTTACAATATTTCCTGGTACTAGTGATTACAACAGTTAAAATTTGAGTTACCATTAAAACTCGATTTCTTTTGATTGCCATTATTTTTCTAGAATCAGTCGAGTTTTCAATAATATGCAGCAGAGGTCAAGTTCAAAGGCCTACAGACATCATACAGGTGATATATATGACTAGTACTAGCATGACACTTAGGAGAGGCAGGACCTGGGAAGGACTGAAAGTTAGATACCCTGCTTAACAGGCATTCAACTAATAACCCGATAACGTGAACAAGACAAATCAGCAGCCTGGATTCCACCACAGCCTAGGCTGGTGAGAGCCCACTAAATCACAAATTGACCAAGAGACTCCCTCTGCTAGGAACCTGTAAACCTGCAGTAGTGTTCACAAATCACATTTCTTACAAGTTTGACACATTTTTTTTTTTTTAGTATCTAAAATTTATTTTAATGATCCTTTAAAAATATTGAAAAAGTAGCTAATTGTTACATGAAGCATTTAGGTCACTGCCTCCTTTCAACAGTTGATACTACTAAACATTTGGATTTGACTATTACATAATGGTTCATATTGTTCTTCATGTCACTAATTATGTAGAAAAGGTATCATATATCTGGCTATCATACAGAACTAGAGAGGAAACAGCTTTTTTGGGATAAAGCCATATGCCATGCTACCTCTGTGTTTGTTTTTACCCTCTACCATATCTTATAGAACCAAAATACCAATAGTTTTCCTTTTCTTAAAGCTGCAGATACCCCCTCTTAAAATGAAATTTAAGGAGCTACTTTTATAGAATCAAAAAGGGGCTGAGACGGCCACTGACCAATGTTTCTCCATCTTAGTATACGTGAATACAAAAATATGGTACAAAGAACTTGGTATTCTTTCATACAGATAAAAGGGCTAGACTGAGATTTAACAATCCTGAAAAAGACCATTTCAGTGCCTACTATAGCTAGGCTACACACTGGGAAGACTCAATGTTGGAATCTGTCACCATTCAGCTCAAGATGGGACTAGAGGGTAGGAATACAAATGCCCTTGGGTCTTGCTCTCCCAGCTGAAGTACAGCAGATGCTACTACTGCTGTGTAAGGGCTGGAGTAAAAGTCTCAGACAGATTCTCAGGGTTTCCAGGGTCTAAAACTTCTAAAACTGTTTTGGTTTTGTTTACTTGTTTTTAGTTTAAACTTTATTTAGTTACCTTTGAATCAGAATACCTGGGAGCAAAACACAGATATCTCCACTTTACTAAACTCTCTGGATGTTTCTTAAGCCCAGTGAAATTCTGAGAGGACCAACATCCTTTCCATTCTACCTCACCCAACCCACAATTTGCCTTTCACTGTATTATTCTAGTTTTGTGTTTGATTCTTGTTGAATCTGCACACTTTCTGCAAATACATAAGCCACTAATTTTATAATTCATTCATCATACATAGAAGTATCCATCAACAATTCTACTAGGGATAAAGGTACAAAGAGAAGTAAAGTGGCTTGACTGACAATGCTTAGGATTTTCTCAGTTTTTGGCTGAAGATAATTTTTTCTCCTCCAAGCAACCATTTTTGTGTGTTCTGCAAGAACATATGAAGTGTAATAATTTTATTGAAATGTGTCACAACACTGAAAATTGTAAAGACATATTTTAAGTTCTATTAGTGTTTCAGTTTGTTTTCTGAAATAAAATGGCACCACACTAACTATAATGAAATACAGCCTATCATTACCTCTTAGTGTTAAGTGACTACACTAAATAGACCTACATTTCAGTTTCTAGTCCTCAAGTCTCATTACGTACTAAAAATAAAGAACAGATACTTTCAAAGAATACATTTCAAATAAAATATATTTAGAAAATGATAAAACTGTTTTGATGTCCTTTTTTCCTTAGAGAATAAACTATTTTTATCAAAACTTGTCTTTACTGCAGATTTAGAAAATACAAAAAGGTAACAAGAAATGAACTGTGAGTTATAAGTCTCCTTTTGCTGTACATTTGAGTTTAGTTCTTTTTTCTTTGCTATTATAACTTAATCTTAACCCACTGATCTATTTCTTTTGCCAAAGGATAGATTCCTAAAAGTGGAACTGCTAGTTCAAACAGCATACACATTTTAAAAGGCTTTTTGATAAATGCTGTTACACTGGTCTTTGAGGAAGTTGTTCTATTTTTCTACATTTTTAAAAGAAATTTGAATGCCTATTACTCTATAGCCTCATCAATAATATTATCTTTTCACACCTCTTAATTTGGCAACTTAATAAGCATAAAATAGTATTTCATTTTTTTCATTTCTTGACTTCTAAGGAAGTTCATCCTTTTTATACTTATTAACCCACTGTTTCCTTCTTGTGTATCTTGCCTGATCATGTCCTTTGCTCATTTTTATGAAAATCTGGGCTTTTTCTTACATTTATATGAATTTTTTATGTATTAGTAACGTTAAATCTTTCTCTATCATACATTGCAAATATATTTTGATATTGAACAATCACGACCTCAAAGAGGGGGTCCTTTGGCTATCTCATTAAAACTATTTACCTATTTTTTCTTCTAACACTATAAATTTTAACCTGTTTATTTTTTGTGTGTTACCATCATTAGTGTAAGTTCCATGAAAGAAAAGATTTGTGTTCATTTTTACTTCTGTACCCCCAAAGGCCTAGAAGAGTGCCCAATGCATAATATTCACTAGATATTTGTTAAATTAATCTTTTTTCTGCATTAATTTGAATACGCTTTACAGACTCATACATACTAGGGTCTGTTCCTGAGCTATTCTTTTTATTCATATGTCTATGTTTAAGGCAGTACCCTATTTTAATTACTTCAGCTTTAAAATATGTTTTAGTATGTGGTAGTGCACATTCCCTCTCAATACTCTTTGTAAAAAACATGACTGATCAGAAGCATCTGTTGATATTTCCTTATGAGCTTTAGAATGACTGACTTTGTCAAGTTAAACAAAGATCTGGTAAAAATGTTTTTGGAATTATATTTAACTTCATAATTTAATTGTGGGGAGAACTGGCATCTTTATAAAATTTAATGTACTATTTAAATTTCTTAGGTATGAAATGAAATTTTGGATATATATGAGAATGTCTTTGTTCTTAAGAAATGTATGCTGAAGTGTTTAGTGGTCAACTTTCCTGATACCTGCAATTTACATTCAAATGATTTATATACACACACACACACACACACACACACACACACACACACACACAGAGATTGATTAATAAGGTAAGGAGATGGGAAGAGAAAGATAGGGGAAGAGGAGGTAAAAATGTGGCAAAATGTTAACTGAGGAATCTAGGTAAATGGTAAAGAATATTCCTTTGTATAATTATTTCAATTTTTTGTTTTGAAAAATTTTTAAATAAAAAAACATCAGGACTTCACATTAAATTTTATCAAATACCTTTTCAGTATTTACTGATGACTTTT